GGAAGAGGTCGAAAATATTAAGAAAGAAAACGCAGATCTCAGGGAAGAGCTCAAAAATATTAGGAAAGACAACATAGAGCTCAGGGACGAGCTCGAAAATAGCAGGAAAGACAACTCAGAACTCATGGAAGAGGTCAAAAATATTAAGAAAAAAAACGCAGATCTCAAGCAAGAGCTCAAAAATAGTAGGAAAGACAACTCAGAACTCATGGAAGAGCTCAAAAATAGTAGGGAGGAAAACGCAGAGCTCATGGAAGAGCTCGAATATAGCAGGAAAGACAACACAGAGCTCAGGGAAGAGCTTGAAAATAGCAGTAAAGAAAACGCAAAGCTCTTGGAAGAGCTTGAAAGTAGCAGGAAAGACAACACAAAGCTCAGGGAAGAGCTCGAAAAAAGCACGAAAGGGAATGCAGAACTCATGAAAAATGTGGAAAATAATCAGCGCCTACTTAAAGTAGGTTTAGGTCTTGCCACAGTGGCCATTGTTGTTCCTGCAGCTTGCTGGGCCATCTCAATGCTTTTCGGCTAAAGTGAATGTCCTGCTCTGTGGGGTCATGATAATAATCAGAGTTTTGATATCTTAGCAGAAGATATCACCAAAACTTTCTGAAGTGTAAGAAATATAAATTCATGCTCAATTGAGTCAAAGGCTTTATAGAAGTCCAGGAGAAGGATAAATGAGTCATCAATTATTAATGCTGAGTAGTCCAGAATATCCAAGACGAGTCTAATATTATTGGAGATGTGCCTGTTTGTCATAAATACAGACTGTGTCTCATCTACAATATCATTCAAAATATATTTCATTCTTCTAGCTAGCAATAGAGCTAAAATTTTATAATCATTATATAGGAGGCGTATTGGTCTCCAGTTGTCTATAAAAAGTAGGTCCTTCTTAGGTTTGGGAATTAAAGTAATAAGTCCTCCAGTGTGATAATAAAACCAGGGAAAAATGAAACCTGCTCCTGTTAAATATTCTTAAGTCTTTTTCTGTATAAATAGTGGTATATTTTTTTTCAAAAGATACAGTAAATAAAGTAGTGTTAGTAGTGGGTGATATCATGTAAACACTGTCATGATTTATGTAAACATTTTGTCATTTGTAAACTATAAATGACATGCATTCTACACTGTAACAGATGTGATGTTCTATAAGGTGGTTTTAACTTTAAAAAAAAGAGGCAAAAATTAGTTTGTTTCTTTATTCAATTTTTGAACAGTAGTACTCAGTCAGTACATATTCAGTAAATGCAAATTATTTACATGGCAGTGCACTACAGGCATAAATCTAGACCCCTAGATAACACATTATGGCATTATTAGCAGTGACAACTCCTCCACAGTAGCAGGTGGGATTTTTCT